CCCCCGACCACCCGGGAGGGAGAGAAAGCCACGGACGCCAGAGTACCAACCGCCCGGCACCCCGGTGTCACTTGCCCCGCCCCCCTCGCCCCCCTCGCTCCCGCTCGACGACCGGGCCCGGAGGGCTTCGCCCGCCCCGCTGGCCGACACATGCGTTGGGATATGCATTGTTGAGTGTGGGAAAATACCCGACCGGGATGGAGGCGTGCCGGACTGGGCGCGGCGCATGCGCGCGCGCGCGCGCGCGCGGGCCAGGCTCGAGCACACCAGGCGCCTCCTCTGCCTCCCCCGGCTGCCTCCATTCATCATGGCCGGCAGGGGCGTCCTCCCGGGCCTGGCTTCTCCCGGCCGGGATCCGCGGCCGGAGACTAGGTCAGGTTGGAGGGCGGATTCGACGGGGGAATCGGCGAGTTGAAACGCGAGAAAATAAAGGAAAGGAGCTGCTCCAGGGATACATCCTCGCCCGCGCCGGCCGGGGTGCTGCCGGAACCGGGCCCCGGCGCCGGCAACGGCTTCCGAACATACAGCGGCGAGGTAGTGACGTCCGAGGTGGCGAGCGGCCGAACGGCAATCCGCTGCGCGGCATCCGGGTCGGCATCCTACATGGTCGACCGGGCGCGAGAAGCCCAGCGAGGAGGGGAGAAGCAGGGTGAGAAAGGTCCCCGTTCAGGGGGGACGCATGGGAAGTGCGCGCTTGTGGGGGGGGGGGGCCGAAAGTCGAGGGGGAGAGAGAGAGAGAGAGAGAGGGAGAGGGAGACAAAGAAGAATGAAGGGGCATACCTGGCTGATGTGACGCATGCGATTCCGCCGCTCGATACACTCACCGATCACCTTCTGGGTGGCCGAGCGCAAGAGCTCGAGAAGATCGCTCCCTGTGGACCAGGCGGAAAATGACAGCAAAGGGAGAGTGCAGGGTGAGAAGCTTGAGAAGAAAGCGACCGAGGCGAGACAGTGTGGCTTGCATACCGGAAAAGCCCTCGGTGAACTGGGCAATTTGCGCGAAATCGAAGTCATCCTCAACCCGGATGTTTGAGAGAATCTAGCCATGGGGCCGCCGAATTTGATGCCGGTCAGTGGCGAAGGGGGGAGGGAGGAAGAGCAAGGAAGGTGACCATCCCACGGGAAGGGGGAAGTAGACGGCAAGGTAGACCGAGGGGGAGGAGAAAGAGGAGGGAGGGAGAGAGAGAGAGAGAAAAAGAGAGACATACATTCCGAATGATTTGGTTGCGAGACTTCTCATCCGGCAGCGAAACATGGATCTTCCTGCTGAAGCGCCGCAGGGCGGCCGGATCGATGTCGCTCATGCGGTTGGTGGCACCGACAAGCTACCGCAAGGAGGACAGGAAAGATGAACGTCAGTGATGTGGTGGAGGGAGGGCGAGCGAGCGAGCGAGAAAGAGAGGGGAGAGAGAGGGGGAGAGGGGGGAGAGAGGGGGAGAGGGGGAGAGGGGGAGAGGAGGAGAGAGGGAGAAGGGGGCAGCGGTGTGTGGGGGTGAGGTGAATGCCGACACAACGCACGACCACATCCTTCAAGGCGATGAGCCCATCCCAGCAGGCAATGAACTCGGCCTTGCACTGAGCCGATGCCTCGTGATCGGAAGACTGGCGAACGCGCAGGAAGGAATCAATCTCATCAATGAAAATCATGCAGGGAGACAACTTACTGGCCAGCGAAAAGACTGCGCTGACAAGCTTTTGCGACTCGCCATACTTCAGAGGTCGAAGAGAGAAAGAGAGAGAGAGAGAGAGAGAACGAGGGAAAGTGGAAGATCAGTGTCTGTGGTTGCACATTGGCGAAGTGGAGGCGCGTGTATATGTGTGTGCACACTGGGACAAAGGCGAACGTACGTATTTGTCTCCGAGCGAGGACACCTTGACATCTGAGGAAGAACAAAAGGCAGAGGAGAGAAGGGTGAGATGAGCACCGGGCGATTCGATCGTCCCAAATGGGGGCAGTGGGGGCTAAGAAGGAGGAGGTGTAGACACGAAGATGAGATGGGGATTGTGCGCACTCAAGAAGGCCACCTGGGGGCTTTCCTTGGCAATGGCACGCGCAAGCATGGTCTTGCCACAGCCCGGCGGGCCATACAGAAGGATACCCCGCGAGGGCTCCAGCACGCTGACCGAGGAGGAAAGACTATCCGAAGAATCGAGCGGCGACTGGAAGAGGTCCGGGTATTGAAGCGGCTCCAGGACCGCCTGGCGGATTTGCTGGATGGCATCCTCGTTGCCACCAACGTCTTTGTTTGTGTGTGTGGGGAGGGGAGAGGGGGCGGTACCCGGAGAGGGGACGAAGGATGGAGGCGGACAAGTGGGGTGAGCATCTGGCGGACGAATGGCCAGGAGGTGGCAAGGGATCCGATCAAGAGGGACTTCCCGGAGCCAAGCGCACCCTCGAGCGAATGGTGAATGGAATCCGGCAGAACAAGGCCATTGGCAATCTCACGCTCATGAGGAGTGAGCGACGACTGGGCAGTGGGTCGATCAGCCGGCGTCGGGTCAGAAAAGGACAGGAGGGCTTGGGTATCATGGAGGATTCGGGGGAAAAGAGAAGAAGGGGACAGGGAGGCACACGGGAAGGGGGGCTCGGAGGGGGGGGAAGCAAACGCACCCAGACCGAACTCAAGCGATCGGCCGCCGGGCAGGAGGACGCCTTGATTGACCGGCTGACGGGATGCGAGAAATTCCGGTACATGTTGGCCCCCACGTGGTACAGGGAGAAGGATAGAGCCGAGGCCAGGGCCAGGATCCCGATCTGGGTGACGACCTCCGTGAGGAAAGACCGATCTGTGGTGGCGAGGTAAGTTTACGAAATCCGGTGGCTGCGATGGGGGGGAGGGGGGAGGGCAAATCCAGGGGTATATAGCGCACCAGACATGACGGAGTGGAGCGGGGCGAGGAGAAGGGAGGGGACGGAGAAGGGGTGCCGCGCGCTGTGGGATCAGGAGAGAGAGAGGGGGGGAGAGAGGGAGACGCTGGAGGAGTCCAGGACAAACAAAAGGAGAGGGAGGGGAGGGAGAGGATGAGGGGCTGCTGACGCGGCGCCCAGCCCTGGACAACATAAGCGGGCGCCTAAGTGATAAAGCCCTCTCGAACGGGGGGGGGACTCAGGAACTGCCCAAACAGAGTGGATCTACCGGGAGACGACCTCCGAGGAAGAGCACGGACACCGGAAAGACACATGCCGGACACAGCTAGCATGTGGGCACCGGAAAAGGGACTCACAAACACCCCCCCGTTCATGCCCCCAAGCCCCCATGGTCGGCAGCGGTGCCAGGACATTTCCCGGGGCGGGACTCGCCCAGGGGTCCGGCCGCAGCCCCCCCCCCCCCCCCCCCCGAGCCGGCGGCCCCCGATCTCAGATCCTGGCTTCGGGAGGGCGCATCCCCCTCGTCGCGCCCTGCGTAGTTGCTCCTCAGCCAACGTGCTGGCGTGAAGGACGCTCTCGCGCTGCCTCCCCGCCCGGCGTGCGCTGGCCCCGCCGTCTGCGTTTGCGGCCGATCAGAACTGCCCTATCATGTGGACATGTGATCTCCGACGTGATCTCTTCAATGACATTCGCGGCACTCACATCTCGGCGTGACACTCGAATGGGGATTCTGGTGCGCTATCAGGGGGACCAGAATCCTGCCACCCAGGGATCGCCGTTCTGCCGGGCCCGCTTGAGAAGCATCTTCGGGGGCCCGCAAGTGAGACCCAACGCCACGGAGATCGGCGGAGAGTGGCGACCAGGGCCCGAGCGCCGTCTCCGAGTCTCAGACGCTCGGCCCTACTTTCCGCGCGCACGCCTCCCCCCCTTCCCCCGCACTCCGCCCGCATGACTGCCCGGTGGGCAGGGGCCAATGCGGGATAGCGAGCCGCCCGCTGGCGCTCCCCCTCCCCCCAGGGGAAGGGATTTGAAATGACCTCCGCTCTTGCGGGCGGGAATGTAGATGTGCCCGCGACCAAGTTGCACGCCCACATGCGCGGACAAGCCGGGGTGGCATTCAAAGGGGAGAAGAGCGCGAGAAGGCACCATGCAAGGTATCGAGAATGGGTATTCTTTTTGGAGAGGTCGCCCGTGAAGCAGCAACGAGAAAAAAAGCAGCACACACCGGGCCAAGGACAGAGAGGAGAAGAATGGAAGAGAGGGAGGGGGAGGGGAGGGAGATAAGGGGGACAGATCTAGGAGGGGGAAGGGGGCAGAGGGGGGGGAGGGGGGGAGGGGGGAGGAAGAGGACCGACAAGTGGTAGGGGGCACCACCGCAGACCAGCGCGAGAGGACGCCCATCGCCATCGACGAGAAGACAGACGAAAACAGCGAAAGAAGGCCAGCCACCACGCACGGGCCCGCGGGAGGAGACGAGGCGCTTACTTCTTCTTCCGGGGGGCCTTCTTGCGAGCGGCACGCTTGGTGGCATACTGCTGGGCGGTGTTACGGCGAGTGCGCTTGGCCGACAGCTGGTCGAGCTCGAGAAGACGGACGTTCTCCTCGGTGCCGGGCTGCCAGCGGGGATGGCTGGTGACGTCGTTGGACGAGCGGAAGATCCGGCGCGGCGAGCCGGACAGGAGAATGCGCGAAGAGCCGTCGCTGTAGACGACAGTCTGACGGAAGAGGGGCATCGGGAGATCCGGCACACGAAGGACCGGCTTGCCAAAGAGCGGGCGCTCCTTGTACTTCAGGTCCTTGTTGGGATCCACCGAGAGGGTGATCTTGGGGGAGCGCGAGAACTTGGCCATGAGCAAGTCCTCGGTGTTGTCGAACCAGTCATCCTGGGCGGCGGAATCTGGCAGCGAGGGCGGGCGGGCGGGCGGGCGGGGGGCAGAGGGGAGAGAGAAGAGGAGGACAAGACGGAGAGGGGTCGAAAATGTGAGATGGAGGGACACAGGCGGCGTGGAGAGTGTGCAGGACAAGACAGGGGGTGCGGAGAGCAGGGGACCAGTCGGCAATGGGGTACAAGAAGCAAGAAGGGAGAGGATGATCCGGAGAACGCACCGCTAGCGGCGGGGGAGGAGAAGAGCCGAGCAATGAGGGGCTGGGTCGCCGGGCGGACAGCCGCGGCGGCGGTGGCCTGAACGTGAAGCGCACGTCCGGCGAAGAGAGAAACCCGCGAGAGCATGGTGGCCCGGGTTTTCCTGCGTGCGCGAGCGAACGGGAGGGCGATGGAAGGGAGGGGGCAGGGAGGAGGAGGGGAAAGGAAGGGAGGGTGAGAAGGCTGAGGGGAGGAGGAGGGGGGGGGGAAGGCGAGGCAAGGCAAAAGGGCATACAGCGGGGGGGGGGGGGGGAGAGGGGGAAAGAAGTGCCAGAGGGGACTTGCAATCTTTAGTCTGCCCTTTCACCCGAGGAGGTGGAGATGTCCAGCAGGCAGGCTGAAAAAGGGAGGCCACAGCCGGCCCAACGGGGGGCCACCGCCGCCGAGGCAAGAGGGACGGAGAGGGAGACGACGAAAGCAGCATAGCCCACACAATCATGCCGCACACCTTTGCCCGCCCGTCTTGCCAGCCCCTGCCCCTTGGATGCGCGTGCATCGCGCCGGGCCCCACCCGCCCGCCCGCCCGCAGCACGACGCGAGCGCGTGCATGTGCAAATGGATATGCCCCCGGGGCCCGTCCCCCTCTCGGCCCGGCTGCGTGACGAGCACGGTAAATAGCATTCTCAAGGGATTGTTGGGTGTATGAGTTGCCAGCGGATGCAGGCGGACAAGGGCAGTTCGTAGGCATATGTGGTACTTGGGGGTTGGAGCCGCGGAGGGAGCGGGCAGCCCTCCCGCCCCCCCCCCCCCCCAGGGTGTGCGCCAGACGCACAGGGGGAAGGTGTAATGGGGGGAGCATACAGGAAGCGACACGGGGGGGGGGGGGCGGGAAATGCCGAAGGACGGACGACACGAGCCGATGCTGGGAGAGATGCTCTCGCGCATCGCCCGTCTTCCCCTGCCCAGCCCCCACCACCGCCGCCGCCCTCTTCTCGGGGCGCCCTCTCTCCTTCGGCTGGGGTGCTTAGAAAATCATCTCCAACTCATAGCGACGGTATGTCCGAAGCGGGACATGCTCCACCGGCCGGTGAGTGTGGAACATGGCCGCCTCCTGGGTGTTGATACCGGAGGCGGTGCCAGGACCGTGCTCCTTCAGGGCGGCCGGGGTGATCTGCTCGAGGGTCTTGCCGGCGGCGATCTGTGCACGGCGCTGCTTCAGCAGGGCCTGGTGCTGCTTGAAGGAGGAGGCCGCAAAGTCCGCCGGCTTGACGAGGTCCGCCGACACGAGGGCCCGCTCGGGCCGGGTCATTGACGAGGCGGCCGAGGTAAACTCATCCGACAGCCGGGGGTATGCCGCAACCAAGGCATCCTGCGAGCCGATATACGTGCTATTGAAGATCTTCCAGTAGACATCGCGAACCTTGCGCGCGGGATGGAAAAGGCCCTGTTGTCCGAGGAAACACGTGTCAGTGCATGCGGCGGAAGCAGAGGAACACAGAGGGGAGCAGGGGAACACAGTGCTGAAAGAGGGGGGGGGGGAGGGAGGGGGAGATGGAGAACGAAGGCCACATACCGAGAGTGTGTACAGCAAAATGCGAGCGGGCCCGAGAGCCATGCGAAGAGCGTCTACCGAGTCCAGCACCGCATTGATGACATGCGGCGAGGTCTCGAAGATGTTTGGCCACAGGAGGTTCAGCAGATGCTGCAGGGCATCCTCGCGATCGAGACCAATCACACCAAGGGCAAGGTCTGTGCCGGGGAGGCAAAAGGGGAAGGGCAACGAGGAGGGTCAGGCGGCGGATGAAACCCCAGAGCCGGGCATGGGAAATCCCACGGCCGAGACGCAGGAGAGAGGAAGCGGATGGGTCCGAGAGGCAGACGCCGAGAGAGAGAGAGAGAGAGAGAGAGAGAGAGAGAAAGAAAGCAAGAAGACGGAAAGAGCCGACGAAAGGCGGAAGGCACACGCACGCTTGAGTACCGACGCCGCGGTCTGACGGTGGACCAGGTCCCGGTCGATGAGCGCGTCGGACAGCAGCTCGGTGGTGGCATAGACGTAGTCCTTGCCGAAGACACCGATGTACTCGAAAAGGAAGGACATGGACTTGAGCACACCGTTGCGCACGTTCAGCTCCGGCACGCGGAACTCGTTCATCAGCGCCGGCAGGACCAGGTACGGGCCACACTTCTCGGCCACAATGGCAATGGCCACCGTGGTGCACACGCGGTTCTGGCGCTCCTGCACGCGGAGGTTATTCAGCAGCGTCGACAGGACATCCTGCGGGCCGAGGGCCGTGGCGATGTAGCCAAAGGTGCTGACTGCCGCTCGGCGGACAGCCAGCCGGTGCGCCCGAAGCAGATCCAGCAGCTCGAAGGACACGCGCGCCCACTCCTTGGCCGACACCTTGGCCGCCGCGCGATCGGCAATACGCCCAATCAGATCGATGCAGTTTTCCTGCACCCGGTCGTGACGGTTCCGCATGATCGGCACCAGACGACCAAAGAGGTCGCCGATAGGCGGATTCTGAGGGGAGCATGGGCAGGAGGGCGGGGAAAGGCAAACACAGAACGGTTAGATTGATGGAAGAGAGAGGGGAAAATCACACACACACACACACACAGGGGGGAGGAGGAAGGTGGCAAGTAGGATGAGACAGGCAGGGGAAGAAGGAGGCAAATGAAGAGGAAAGAGGGGGGAGGAGGATCAGCGCGCACCATCTCATCCATGCCCACCACGCAGATGATGCTCTTCAGGGCGCCGAGGAGCGAGGCCAGCACGTCGGGATACTCCTCACCAAGGTTCTCGAAGGCAATGCCACCCAGGTCCGACAGGAGGCGGACCTCGCCGCACTCCATGAGGACGTCGGCGATCTGCGAAATGAGATCGGCCGCCTGCTTACGAACACTATGTGGCGAGTGGGAAGAAGGAGGGAGGACGAAGGGTGGGGGTGGGGGGGGGGCGGGGAGTGAGACAACAGTGCAATCGGAGCACAAAAAAAAAAGAAGAAAGGAAAAGAGAGAGACATGGGAGGGGCAGGCAGGACGGCAATGATTGCCGAGTGGCGAGCAGCAAGATGGGAAATGGGCGACAAAAAGAAGAGCAAAGAAAAGACAATGCCTGACATACAGTGGCTGCCGATTCCCCAGGCGAATGCTGATCAGCTCCACCACGCGCGTCATGTACGGCGTGCATCGAGTGCCGAGCGCGCGCAGGACCACTCCAAACCCATTGAGGATGGTGTTGTAGTGGGCCTGGTGAGCGCGCTCCTCGCGGTGCTCGTCCATATTGGACGCGGTCAGCGGGTTGGACACCTCGCGGATGGGCATCTGGATGGCCACCAGCAGGCAGTCAATGAGAGTCGGCTCGCGGTCCTCATCTAGATCAGCGAGGCCGAGGTTGGTGACGATCTGCCGGGATCGTGACCGCCCGGGGGGGGGGGGGGGGGG